GCTTTAGAAAATCGATACAGTATCGGGAAATGAAATGTGGCGATATTCAGTGTATCAATATTTTTCTTACACCCCTATTACATGCAAGTAAAACTAAGTTTATAATATTTAAAAATATTATGATTTATCAGAAATTAGTCAGATTAAAACTATTCAAGGAGCTGAAATGGTTTCTTTTTTTTTTTAGAAGAAATCGTTGTGATTTGTGTTTTATTACTGGCTGTGAAAATCACCACWGTATGTTGCTGCTAAACTGCCCTCAGGCTTTTTATTACTTGTTTTTTATTTACAAACCTCTATTTGTCCAGTACTATTTCATCTCTGTGTTTATATGAATAAATATCACAGTCAGAACAACCGATGCTCTCATGAGGTTTTATAAATGTCTGTCCCCAGAGTCAGAACAGAATTAGGAACAAAACAGCTTTTAAATATGCTGCTCATTTCCTGGAGTCATTTTWAAAAAGTTCTCAGAAATGGTTACCATGAAAGAGTTGAATCTAAAATAGATTGTTTTCAGTTTTGCAGTGAAGAAAGATCCAACACACAAATCCTGCAACTTGACGATATCTGATGCTGTTTGTTCAAAGTGCATCCATCTTTCTAAATATAAATTTTTGTCTGTTTTATCAGAAATTCTTTTCACAAAACATTTCAAACTGCATCTCCTAATGAGTTTTATGAAAGAACCAAGGCATCAAATATGCCTTTTGTTGTTCTGCCTCTGAGCTGCAGAGGAATGTAGTGACAGAGCTGAATTTGAACTTTGTCTCAGTCTTTCAGTCCTTGAGACCTTAGTTTGTTTGTGAAGTAAAAAGCCAACTATACTTGGTTCATTAATGAAAGCTCACACTTTCTTGCGTCAGGGCTGATTTGATTGGTGACTTGTTAACAGCCAGAGGCAGCTCAGAAGAAACCAAGAGCAAAATTCAAGCATGTTCTTCCCAACAACACTCTTCAACACCTCTTAGTAATCAACGTGTCTCACAAGGTATATAGTGAGGGAGTCCCAGGTCTGCCATGGGGTCTTCTCATAAGTAAACGCCCCCTAAGATCAACCCTGACAAAAAGAGACAACTAGGAGTCATTGAATCAAATCTTCAGACAACCTCCTCTGTGTTTTTGATGCAGAGAAGATGTGACTCAACCCTGATCTTCCCCTAGAGTCAGAATTTCTAACTCTAAAAACCTCCTTCCCTCTGGAAGATGACTTAGCAACAAAGTAAAAACAGTCAGAATGTGGATGGTCTTTTCAGGGTTTGGTGAAATTGTATTTTATAAAACTGGACCTGACACTTTGGACTCATGTTTAGTGCAGACACATTAGTWGTGGAGGGAGCGCCATAATGGTGTGGCATGACCCTTCTGTGTGTAGCTGCATCTTCATGTGGTCAGAGAAACATACATGAAACAAGTGTTTCAGGAAACAGAGAAWGTGGGAACAATCAGTTTGTTGTGCATRAGGAATGKATCTTCATCATTGTTGCCTTCACTCTGAAGGTTCTCCAGATTTGCTGAGATTCAGTATGTTGTACCAAGGTTGGGTTCGGGTTAGGTTGAGCCCACACAACTTCCAAAGGAAACTCATTGTAACTGCTTCTATCCTCATTTCCTCATTCTCATTTTTGAGTCCTTGAGACAACTTTGAGTTCTTATGTCAAAGACATTGATTTATTTTTGTTCTGTGTTTTAACAGGGAGATGGTGAATGCCTGGTTTGCTGAGCGCATTCATACCATCCAGCCTTCTGTTCTCAAAGAAAATTCTTCACAGCAGCAGCTCTCTACAGATCTTGGCCCCTCACCTGCCTCCACCATCCTCCCGCCTGCCCTCAGCCTCCTGGAGAACCGCTCACCCTCACCTGCCACAGTCTCCAGCCCAGCTCCTGGCACCCCAACTCGCAAAATCTCAGCTTCAGAGTTTGACCGTCCTCTGAGACCCATCGTGGTCAAAGACTCAGAAGGTTCCCTGACTTTTCTAAGTGACACGGAGCGTGAAACAGTCCATCTTCAAGGCTCAGTCATGGGTGAGTGTGGTATAAGTGATGGTGGAGGTAATGAAAGTGGATGTGGCAGCGGGGGGGACTGCTGCACCAGGCTGCTGGAGCTGGTAAAGGAAGTGTCGAGTCATCTGGATGTGACTGCTCTCTGCCATAAGATCTTCCTTCACATCAATGAGCTCATCGCTGCAGATCGCTACTCCCTTTTTCTGGTAGGAACAAACTAGGATTCAGTTCTTTATTACTGGTTTAACTGGAGCTTTGGTTTCAGGAAACATAAGCTCAAACAAAATTATTCTTTTCATTTTGCACCATGATATCCACATCACCAATGTTCTTCTCTATAACCCAACACCAATGTTCTTCTCTATAACCCAACACCAGTGTTCTTCTCTATAACCCAACACCAATGTTCTTCTATATAACCCAACACCAATGTTCTTCTCTATAACCCAACACCAATGTTCTTCTCTGTAACCCAACACCAATGTTCTTCTCTATAACCCAACACCAATGTTCTTCTCTATAACCCAACACCATTGTTCTTCTCTACAACCCAACACCAATGTTCTTCTCTGTAACCCAACACCAATGTTCTTCTATATAACCCAACACCAATGTTCTTCTCTATAACCCAACACCAATGTTCTTCTCTGTAACCCAACACCAATGTTCTTCTCTATAACCCAACACCAATGTTCTTCTCTATAACCCAACACCATTGTTCTTGTCTACAACCCAACACCAATGTTCTCTAAAAGCCAACATCAGTGTTCTTCTCTGAAGTCCAACACCAGTGTTCTTCTCTAAAGTCCAACATCAGTGTTCTTCTCTAAAACCAAACATCAATGTTCTTCTCTAAAGTCCAACATCAGTGTTCTTCTCTAAAGTCCAA